GACTTTGGGCCGACAATATGTGTATTGGGAGGAGTTCCGACACCATCAAGAAGAAGATGCTCGATATGATGGCATACCATGAGGTGAGTATTCTCATTCCGCCCTACACTAGAGCCCATCAGTCATACACTCACAGGGATCCTCTGAGCGTGTTAGCCGCGATGTTCAAGCTCTGTTGGATGGTGAAAAAGGAGCGAGTTTCGGGGCTATCTTGGACAAAGCGTTGAGCCAGCGCGATGCCGCCCGAAACAAGTCTGACAAGCACAAGGCCAAGCTACGCAAGGTTCGTAGCCTTGATCGACTGGTACACGATGGCTGATCTTTGCGTAGAAGAATGCGGAGGACATTGAGGGAGGAACACGTATCCGATCGGAAGCCATGCAAACTTTGAAGCGACCCCGCACCGATACGGATGAAGCCTCCAGAGACAGTGACAGCAGTGGCGACGACGCTGCGCAACACACCGAGGATGAGGCACCTGCCGACGTCTCCGGATCTCAATCACGACCGTCCAAGCGACAACGGGTTGCCCAACAACACCAGAACGACAACGACAGCTGCGACATGGACGCTCGCATCACACGTCACTACGACCGCTTGGAAGCTCATTGCGCACGGCTTGAAGAACATCAAGATGCTGTTGTCAGCCAGCTCTGTCGCATGGTCGATGTTTACGATCATGGTATTAGTACTATTGTATCCGCTATCGATAACCTAGTAGCGTCTCAGGCACCCTCTCCGGCTCAGATATCAGACAACAGTTCCGAGTCACCCAAGCATCACTCTGCTTTCTATGATAACGACGAGCATGAGATCTAGAGCTCCTACAGCTGCTGTACTTTATGTCTATATATGCCCAATTTTAATGATGGAGATATTCACGAAGACTAGGAGGCGAGCACAGGAAGAACTGGGATGTTTGATTTGGTCGAAGGCAATTCATGGTGTTCGTTAAAAGGACTCCGACACGATAGTAACGTCCTACTGGAGAAGAATACACCTTCATCTTGCTTTTTGACCGGAGAAACCCCCACTTGTTGAGTACGTTACCGAACGTGTGCTCAACCTCCATGCGTAGCGAAGACATTCTTTCGTTGAATTCCCGCTCCTCTGGTGTTCTCTCTCCTGGACCTGAGAATGGACTAATGAGCACGTCACTGAGTCCATACGCGGGGTCC